GAGGAGACAGAGGCGGAGCAGGAGGAGAAAGAGGCGGAGCAGGAGGAGAACGAGGCGGAGCAGGAGGATGAGTAAATGGAGGAGGCGAGGACGGAACCGACGAGTGTCAGGACGAGGAGGAGGAGGAGGAGGAGGAGGAGAGCAGAATGACGAGGAGGAGGGCCGATCACGAGCATGAGCAGCAGCAAGGGGCATCGCTAGGAGACCGACACCCAGCAGTGCGCCCCCGACGACGACAGCGACGTGTCGCCAGAAGAGTTGGCGACATTCTTCAGCAATGCGACCCTGGAGGAGCGAATTCAAACTGCGTACGTCGTCCACGTCCTCTCTTTCGGTGAACCCCTCCTCCGCATTCTCGATTGCCGCTCGCCCGAGGACGCTGACATAACTGGGGAAGAATGGGCAGCGCTCGAGGGAGCGGAGGAGGGGCTGCACGATGGCAGACTGCTCGTTCCCTCGGATCCGTTCTTGCTTCGTCGAGCGGACCCTCGTCGCTGTCGTCGTCATCCTCGTCATTCCACTCCTCATCCCCCACCATCCCCCACTCCTCAGCTCAGACTCCAGCGGGCCCTACCCCCCCTCAGCAGGAGAAAGTCGACCGAGCCCTGTGGACACGTGGGGGATCAGAAACCGAGATCTTTTCGAGGGCGAGGATGATGATGATGATGATGATGTTGATGATGATAATGATGATAATGATGATGATGCTGATGCTGATGATGATGATGATGATGATGGTGAAGGTGATGTTGATGATGCTGCTGCTGCTGATGAGGATGATGATGATGATGATGATGAGCACGAGGAGCAGGAGCAGGCGGAGGAGGAGGAGCTGAGAGTGAGAGGAAGAAGGAGAGGAGGAGTGTTGGAGGAACGGAAGGGGGAAGAGAAGAAATGGCTGGGACGTCTTCCCCCCCTGATGCGTTCCTCCTCCTCCCTCTACTCCTCCTTATCCTCCTCCGCCTCGTTGCTCTCCTCATCTTCAATCTCCCCCCCTCCTCCTTCTCCTCCTCCTTCTCCTCCTCGTCCTCCTCCTCCTGCCAGGAGGAGGCCTGCAGGCGCAGGCCCCTCCTCTTTTTTTTCTTCCAAGGGCCCTGCCAGGATGATGCGAGCTCACAGACTGTGCTGGAGGTCACCGACGACGAGTTGGTCGAGGAGTACGCAAGCATCGTCGGAGTGTCGCGCGGGGACCTCCTCGGGCCCTGCGCGGCCCAGGTCGAGGATCCCGCGGCCGAGGGCGAGGAGGTGGAGGAGGGGCCTGCGCAAGAGGACGTCGAGGAGGAGGTGGGGGAGGTGGAGGAGGCGGCGCCACCGGCAGTGAAGGCTCCAGGCCCAGTGACGGCAGCGGCGGTCAAGGCTCCAGGCCCATCGACGGCAGCGGCAGCGAAGGCTCCAGGCCCGTCGACGGCAGCATCAGTGAAGGCTCCAGGCCCGTCGACGGCAGGGAAGGCTCCAGGCCCATCGACGGCGGCGGCAGCGGCAGCGAAGGCTCCAGGCTCAAAGGCGGCAGTGAAGGCTCCAGGCTCAAAGACGGCAGTGAAGGCTCCAGGCCCCAAGACGGCAGTCAAGGCTCCAGGCTCCAAGACGGAGGTGAAGGCTCCAGGCTCCAAGACGCCAGCAGTGAAGGCTCCAGGCCCGCCAGCGGCAGCTGTGAAAGCTCCGGGCCCGAGAGGCGCGGCGGGCATGGAGCAGCAGCCGAAGCGGGCTAAGGTGTCGGCGTCGGGACCAGCAGGGTCATCATCGTCGGCATCTTCGATGCAGTTCTATGGCAGCTTGCTCGGCATCAAGACCAAGAAGGAGCACAAGATCAAGACCTCGAGCAAGAAGAGCAAGAGCAAGCACAAGCACAAGGACAAGAAGAGGCAGCAGTCGGCAGCACTGCCGATGGCGGCTCCAGTGGTTGCGCCGCCGCAGCCTTCGTGGCTGGACGCAGAAGCTGGGAGGAAGCCTCGCCCGAAGGGAAAGGCAAAGGCCAGCGCGGCCGCCGCGAAGAGGACCGCCACAGCCCAGAAGAAGGCGAAGGCCCCAGAGGAGGAGGCAGCGCCCGAGGCCGCGCAGGAGGAGGCAGAGGACGAGGAGAGCGAGGAGGCAGGAGGTGACGCCGAGGGAGGCGAAAGCGAGGAGGCAGCAGGCGAAGACGAGGAGGCAGCAGGCGCAGCCGAGGAGGCCTGCGCAGGCGAAGACGAGGAGGCAGCAGGCGCAGCCGAGGGGGCAGGCGCAGACGGCGAGGAGGCAGCAGGCGAAGACGGCGAGGAGGCAGGCGAAGACGGCGAGGAGGCAGCAGGCGAAGACGGCGAGGAGGCAGCAGGCGAAGACGGCGAGGAGGCAGCAGGCGGCGAGGAGGCAGCAGGCGAAGATGGCGAGGAGCCGACCGACGCGCCAGGCAAGGCCTCGAGGACGTTCAACGCCCAGGGCAAGACCTGGCAATGCAAGCAGAGGCAGAATAATGCGGACGGCCACACTTGCATCGTCATCTCCGACGGCAAGAGCAACTGCTGGCAGGTGACCCAGGTGCGCGACAATCTGTGGACGGAGGCCCAGTGGCGCAAGATGGGCCAGCCCGATGCCCGCACCATGACCAAGCTGATCGCCAACTACGCGGTGATCAGGATCGCGGAGACCCGCGCCACCAGCAGGGCCAAGGCGATGCAGGCGCGGGATGACGTGCTTGAGAAACTGGCCATCGGCCCAGGCGGGCTAGGAGGAGGAAGGGGAGGAGGAGGATGAAGAGGAGGAGGATGAGGATGAGGAGGATGAAGTTGAGGATAAGGAGAAAGGAGGAGGAGGAGAAAGGGAAGGTGCCTCGAGGAGGACGAGGACGGGGGAAGAGGAAGACGAGGAGGACGAGGAGGAGGAGGAGATGAGGAGGAGGAGGAGGACGATGATGATGCTGATGCTGATGCGGATGATGATGATGCTGATGATGATGATGATGACGATGAGGATGAGGGGGAGGGGGGGATCAACACGAGGAGGAGGAGGAGATGAGGATGAGGAGGAGGACGATGATGATGATGCTGATGATGCTGATGATGATGGTGATGATGATGATGATGATGATGATGAGGATGAGGATGAGGGGGAGGGGGAGGATCAACACCTGCCTTTCGGAGGCAAATGAGGACATCGCGCAGAAGGCGGTGCGCGACTAGAATGCAGTTTTTGGCGGGGAGGGGGGGGACGTCAGTGTGTGCTTGTTGGTTGAGTGTGCCAGTGCATGTTCGCGTATGCATGCGACGTTGACGTTATCTTGGTGGCGGCTGCGGCGTCGAGCATGATGCGTCGCAGAGCGAGGGGCAGGTGCGGCGGTTGGCATTCATGCTGGCTGATCGAGCATAGCCGCAGGATGATGATCGGCGTGAAGAGGAGGGAGCGCACACCATGAGATCAAGGAGCATAGCGATAAACAGCAGGATGATGATCAGTCGGAGGATGATCGAGCGGAAGAGCGTGGCGACGGATGGAGGCACGGAGGATCGAGGATGAGCAGGCAGAAGAGGAGGAGGAGAAGGAGCAGGAGGAGGAGGCGTGCGATTTCTCCTCTTGAGGCGCGCGTCTCCTCCTTTTCCTCTTATGATCCTCCTCCTTCTCTTCGTTCTCCTCATACCATCCTCCTCCCCCTCCTGTTCCTTCCCCTCCTCCTCCTGAGGCGCGCGTCTCCTCCTTCTCCTCCTGAGGCACGCGTCTCCGCGTTCTCCCCCTGGGGCGCGCGTCTCCCCCTCCTCCTCCTCCTCCTCCTCCCCCTCCGCCTTCTCCTCCTGAGAAGAGGAGGGGGATGGGGCATTCGATGAGGAGTGGGACGAAGATGAGACGGCGGCACGAGGAGAACGAAGGGGGGAGAAGAAGGAGGACGAACAGGAAGAGGAAGGATCCGAGGAGGATGAGGATGAGGGGGAGGAGGACGAGGAGGACGAAGGGGAGGATAAGGAAGAGATCGGGGGGGAGGGGGGGGGGGGGAAGACGTCCTGCCCGTTCTCCTCCTCCAACATTATCATCATCCCTCTCCATCTCTTCTCCTCATCCTCCCCATCCTCCTCCTCCTCCTCCTCCTCCTCCTCGTGCTCATCCTCATCCGCGAAGTCCCACGCCGCGCGTCTTGTTTCCCGCTGTCCGTGAGAGGGGAGGCGACGAGGTCATCTTCCTCGCCGTCCTCGTGGCTATTGACGGCTGAGGGGGCTCGGCACGAGGAGATAGACGAAGGAAGAAGAGTGAGGAGGAATGGGGGACTGGGGTAGCTCGGAAAGAGCAGACAGCAAGTGTGGAGAGCGAGGTACGGTAACGGATAGAGAGGCAAGGATGGAGGGGATTCAGGATGGGAGCGACATCCCGTGGGAGGAAGCGGAGGAAGAGGAGGGAGAGGACGAGGAGGAGGAGACATGATAATACGATCGAGGAAGGAGGAGGCGGCGGAGTAGAAGGAGGATGAGGAGGAGGAGGAGGAGGAGGGAGGAGGGAGGAGGGAGGAGGAGGGAGGAGGGAGGAGGGAGGAGGGATGAGGAGGATACGAGGAGAAGGGGGAAGAAGGAGGAGGGGGGGGAAACCGAGGAGGAGGAGGATGAGGAAGAAGAAGAACTCAGAACGCTCGAGCGTTCTGATTGTGCGAGCCTCGGCCCTGGCAGACGGATGGGCTCGAGGCGCTCGTCCCCGAGAAAGGTACTCGGGTTTGGGGTCACAATGGATCAGGTCCTCGTCGTTGTGTATGGGGTCCTTAACTGGTGGTCCACCGACTTCCTCCTCCTCCAACTCGTCCTCCTCCTCCTCCTCGTTTCCCCCCTCCCCTCCTCTAGAGGGGCACCTCCTCCTCCCCCTCCTCCTCTTCCTCCTCCTCCCCCTCCTCTCCTCGTTTCCCTCCTCCCCTCCTCTAGAGGGACACCTCCTCCTCCCCCTCCTCCTCTTCCTCCTCCTCCCCCTCCTCTAGCGCAGGGGGGAGGGATCAGAGGATCAAGTACCCATTCTCCGCCGACCCCCCTGCCCTCGAACTTCCATGCGACCGTGGACGTCGAGGCTCGAAGGGCACGCGCGCGGTGGAGATCTTGACCCAAAGATTCGCAGCAGGCGATTGGGCATGGGGTGCGATTTGCAGCGCAGCATGCGATGTGCAACGTGCGATTTGCAGCAAGCGAGTTGCAGCAGGCCGCGTGTGTTACAGCTGGGGATGATAAGGCGGGTATCGAGGAGGAGAGGAATGAGATGGGAGGGCGGAGACGTAAGGAGGCCACATATAGGAGGAGGTTAACGGTGGAAGGAGGAGGAATGGTGGAAGGAGAAATGAACGGTGAAACAAGGATGAGACGAGGAGGGAAACGATGAGGAACGAGATTATTAAGGTAACAAGTGGAACGGTGAGCAGGTGAAGCAGGAAGGAGTGGGAGAAGGAGAAGAGAGGGTATCCCCCACGCCCCCCTGCCCGCGCCCAGGTGTCGCCAACATGTCAAACGGAGGCGCGGCGGCTTACTGTTTCACACCTCTACCGCTGCACCGTTGAGCCCGTCGCCCCCCCCATGGGGGGGCAGACGGGTGGTGCAGCCCCCGCCATGCAACCGCCATGCGGTATGCTGGCGGCTATATGATGGGGCCCATGGTTCCATCGTATAGATATATCATGGTTCCGTCATGGTTCCGTCATGGTTCCATCGTGGTTCCATCGTGGTTCCGTCATGGTTCCATCATGGTTCCGTCGTGGTTCCGTCATGGTTCTATCATGGTTCTATCATGGTTCCGTCATGGTTCTATATCATGGTTCTATATCCTGGTTCTATATCATGGTTCTATCATGGTTCTATCATGGTTCCGTCATGTTTCTATATCATGGTTCTATATCATGGTTCCGTCATGGTTCCGTCATGGTTCCGTCATGGTTCTATATCATGGTTCTATATCCTGGTTCTATATCATGGTTCTATCATGGTTCCGTCATGGTTCCGTCATGCTTCTATATCATGGTTCCATATCACGGTTCTATATCACGGTTCTGTCATGGTTCCGTCATGGTTCTATCATGGTTCTATATCATGGTTCTATATCATGGTTCTATATCGTGGTTCTATATCCTGGTTCCGTCATGGTTCTATCATGGTTCTATCATGGTTCCGTCATGGTTCTATATCGTGGTTCCATATCATGGTTTTATATCATGGTTCCGCCATGGTTCTATCATGGTTCCGTCATGGTTCCATATCGCGGTTCTATATCATGGTTCTATATCCTGGTTCCGTCATGGTTCTATCATGGTTCCGTCATGGTTCCGTCATGGTTCCGTCATGGTTCTATCATGGTTCTATATCCTGGTTCTATATCATGGTTCTATATCCTGGTTCCGTCATGGTTCCGTCATGGTTCTATCATGGTTCCATCATGGTTCCGTCATGGTTCCGTCATGGTTCTATCATGGTTCTATCATGGTTCCGTCATGGTTCTATATCCTGGTTCTGTCATGGTTCAGCGATGGTTATATCATGGTTCCGCCATGGTTCTTTCATAGCATATAGCGCGGGCAGGGGGTGCATGTGGGTGCGCTGTGCCACTTGGCATGTGCGCGCCTTCGATTTGCAGCAAGCGATCGCGCGTATATTATATATATATATGCGCCAAAAAAAAAGCCCGCCCCCCTCCCCCTCCTCTGCCCCGCCCTCGCCCCCCGTGTCCCATCCGGCCACGCTGCCCCCCCTTCCTTGCTGTCCCCTTCCCTTGCCGTGCCCCCCCCCTTGATTGTGCAGGGAAAGGGTATACATGCAGGTTAGTGTACATGGGTGCGCATCGTCTAGTGTTCGCATGCGTTCGAGTCGCCACGTTCTGATATTATATATGTGTGTGCGATCTTGTATATATATATATGTGTATATATATATATATATATGCGGGCAGGGCAGGCCATGCCGCCGAAGGGCAGCAGGAACCAGAAGCGCGCCAACAGCAGGCAGTCAGAATACTCGTGTGGGAAAGCGAAACGTGGCGAAGCAGAGAAAGCGAAGAGGACCGAAAATAAAGAGCACGAGAACACGCTCGCCCGTCTGAGGCGTGAGGGAGGGTTGGCACCAGCGCTTCTGGCGTTTTTGCTCAGAACGACAAGGATGAGGAAGGGGCGGTAGGACGAGGAGGAGGAGTGGGGGGATGAGGAGGGTAGGGGGAGGAGGAGGAGGAGGAGGGGGAGGAGGAGGAGGAGGGAGCGAAGAGGATGATGAAGGAATGATGAGGAACAAACGCTATGGCAGGCGATATCGCGTGATCACACATGGGCAGGGGAGGGGCCAACTGCAGAAAGACAAGCCGCACCTCTGGGAGCAATACAAGAAAGCCAGGAAGACCACCAAAAAGGAGTGGCTCCAGATCTGGCAGCAGGACGGCCATTTCGAGAGAATTGAAAGCAGCAAGCTTGAGGAGAAAGAAAGAGTTCATCAGGGCGACACCTTGGGCTCCTGGTTCAACGGCCTTCTGAAACCTGTTTCTTAAACCTGGTTCTTAAACCTGTTTCCGTGTTAAAACCTCGATGTGCATACCTATCCATATGTGTGCCTAAGGGCTGGTGTTGAGGCCCTCTCCCCTTCCGTATGTGGCGGCCCAGGTTCACATACGACGAGCTGCTGGCCGCCCAGAAGTGGACGGTTGAGAACAGCGAGACGCCGTACGGACAACGGCGCGCATGCGGGCATGAATGAAGATATAAGGGAGAGACGAGGATTAGGATGACGAGGATGAGGGTGAGGATACGAGTGAGGATGAGGATAAGGATCGATGGGGAGGAGGAGGAACGGGAGGATAAGTAGGAGGAGGACGAGGAGGATGAATAGGAGGAGGGGGAGAAGGACGAGGAGAGGGAGGAGGAGGAGGAGGAGAGAGAGGAGGAGCAGAAGCAGGAACAGGAGGAGGAGGAGGAGGAGTCAGGACGAGGGGGGACCCCGAGAGTGTCAGCCCCTCGCCCTCCACAGGGCCATGGCCAGAGCCGACGCGATCAAGCACTACTGCCAGCGGGTCAAAGGCTTCACGAAGGCCGACCAGGGAGAGGGAGGAGGAAGAACATGAGAACGATGATGGGTGAGGATGGTGATGATAAGGATGAGGATGATGATGACCATGAGGAGGAGGAGGAGGAGGAGGAGGAGGAGGAGGAGGAGGAGGCGGATCATAAGCATACTTGAAGAATGTGAAGAGAAGGGCCATGCAGAGGATGCGGAAGTGCGGAATGATGATTATAATGATGAGGGGGATGAGGAAGACTATACGAGGAGATTGGGGAGGAACCTGAGGTGGGCCATGAATAATGACCCCCCCCCCCTCGCCTGCGGAGGTGCACGAGCAGCACAGGGAGATCCTTTACAAGCAGATCGACTACAAAGATCTGCAGCGGAAGGCACGGGACGCCATGCCGCCCACTTTTCTTAAGCAACCCTCGTGCCCCACCGCCTCATCCCCCTCCACCTCATCCTCCTCCTCCTCCTCCTCGTCCTACTCATCGTTCGTTCTTCGGCACGCTCCCCCTCCTCCTCGTCCTCGTCCTAATCCTCATCCTCCTCCTCCTCCTCCTCCCCCTCCTCCTCCTCCTCCTCCCCCATCTTATCCTCCTCCTCCTCATCCTCCCCCTCCTCCTCCCTCGCCTTCCGTCATTCCGTCTGCTGTCTTCCGTCCACCCGCCCTCCCTCCTGCTCATTTCCTCGCCCGCGAGGGACACATTCAGAAGGTGAGCACCTTGCTGAAGAGCGACGCCAAGGAGATCCCTGAGGAACACCGCCAGGGAAAGGCCAACGTGGCGAAGGATGGCGAGGGAGGGAGGTGCAAGATGCACGAACGCATGCGAAGAAGGTGATAATAGGGATGAGGAGGAGGATGGGGAGAAAGAGGAGGAGAGGAGGAGTAGGATGAGGAGGAGGAGTAGGATGAGGAGGATGATGAGGATGAGGAGGAGGAGAGGATGAGGATGAGGATGAGGATGAGGATGAGGATGATGATGATGATGATGATGATGATGATGATAATGATGGTGATGATGGTGGTGATGATCATGATGAGGAGGAGGATGCGGCAACTGATAAGGAGGAGGATGCTAGGGAGAACGGTGAGGATGGAGAGGACGCGGACGAGAATCATGTTGTTGACAAGCATTTGCGGAAGCAATGAGCTCGAGCCTGCCCTGCCGTGGGGGCCGTCTGGCGGACGGTGGTGATCAGCTAGACTTGATGAGAGTTAGGGGATCGGCGTCGAGGAGGAGGCATGGAGGAGGACGGAGGAGGGGGATAAAGAGGCGGAGGGAAGGGGAGACGGAAGGAGGAGGCGCGGAGCCAGCGCGGATGGGCCAGGACGAAGACGACTACTCCTACTACTCGTCGTACTCGAGCAACGAAGGCTCGGATGAGGACGGCAATGCATCTTCGCTCTCTTGCTCTCGTGTTTCTTGTTGCTATGTTGCCGTCCTACTTGTTTTTTTCCAGATTGTCTACGTGGTTTCCCCGCCACTGTCCACACCTTCATTGTCACGCCATCGATGTTTGCCCCTGGAGTCATCAATCCTATCCCGTGCGCCGGTCTCGTCCCTCGCCCCCCTCTCCCCCTCCCTCGTGACGGGGTTGCGCCAGGGCACTCCTGGCGCGAGCTCGGCGACGCACCGCGTCTCGGCCGAGATGGCGCAGCTCCTCGGGGACGCGTCGGCCTACAGGGTCCACTTGTCTGACCTACAGGTGGCTCAGGGTTTCGGGATTGCTTGCTCTTTCGGGGGCGTGCGCTGAAGCGACTTGCATGGTGGAATGGAGGGGAGGGTGAGCGATGGAGGGAAGGGATGGATGGACGGGTGGAGGGATGGAGGGAGGGAGGGGTGTAAGGAGGGAGGGAGGGAGAGAGGGAGGGAGAGGGCAGCATGATCATCCTCACTCGCATTTTTGAAGGGGGGTCGGAGGTGGGCAAAAATGCGCGGCTGGCCCCCTTCAAGAAGCAGGTGACGGAGACGCTCGCCGACCTGGACGCGGCGGCTTCGGACATCACCAAGCATATTCAGGGGAAGTCCTCTTGCTTGTTGGAGGGTGAAGTTCAGTTGGAGGATGTGGAGTCGGAGTAGGAGTAGGATCAGGGTGAGGGGGCGTTGGATGATGCCGAGGATGATGAGCAGCAGGAGGAAGAGAGACCGTAACCAGACAAAAACACGATGACGAGAAGGGTGAGGGGAATGAGGTGAAGGAGGAGATGGACCAGGAATAATATCACGACAGGAGAAGGAAGATGGTGAGGAGGAGGCGGAGGGGGGGAGGAAGAGGAAGAGAAGGATGAGGAGGAGGAGGAAGAGGAGGCAAGAGGCGCTGTGAGGATGCCACAGCGTCCTGTGTGGATGTCGCAGCGTCGTCAGCGTCGCGGGCGCTGTCGTGGGGACGCAGGTCAGATGACGTGGACCAGGCCAAGGAGGCCATCGCTAAGGCCGATGCTCCCAACATGTTTCGAACCCCTTCCCCCGACCATCCCGAGAGTACCTGCTCGGGCCATGACCGAGGAGGTGAGGATGGAGGGGATGATGAGGGAAGATGAGGAGGAGGGGAAGGGCGAGGGGGAGGATGAGGAAGAGGATTAGGAGGAAGAGGGATGTTGAGGATGAGGGCGATGATGAGTAGGAAGAGGAGAGGAGGAGGAAGAGGAGGAGGAGGAGGAGGAGAAGCGTGACGAGAGGGGGAGCGAGACGGATGCAGAAGATGGAGATGTACCCTGAGGCCGCTGCGCTGTGGAGTTCGCTCGCTCCTTTGGCCGAGACGTACGCCAAGGCGGCAGCTGCCATCAACCAGTGAGGTACTGGTGACAGCCCTCCTGCGTAGGAGGATCAGGAGGAGGAGGAGGAGAGGAAGAGGAAGAGGAGGAGGAGGACGAGGGGGAGGAGGAGGGGGGGGGAGGAGAAGGAGGCGGAGGATGAGGATCGAGGAGGAGGATGAGGACGAGGAGGAGGATAGCCCCTGACCGAATGATACGAGGCTCGCCGCGGCCAGAAGCGCGGCGCTTGCACCCAAGACCCCCTGGACCCAAGAGCACGGATGCTCGAGGGGGAGAGGGGAAGGAGGAGGAGGAGGAGGTGGAGGATGAGGAGGACGACGAGGGGGAGGGGGAGGAGGAGGAGGAGGAGGATGAGGAGGAGCAAGAGGAGGAGGAGGAGGAGGAGGAGGAGGAGGCGGCCAGGGAGGGAAGGCATCCATTGAGTTCTTTTGACGCTGGTGCTCCGCGGGCGCACGCGACGGGCGCGACAGCTCTGCTGTCCGAGACGTGCTCGCTAGCGATCAGCAAAAATTTGACGGGTCATCGCCCTCGCGTCTCAAGCGTTCTGGTTCTTCTGACGTCTCAGGTTAGCTCTCCATCGAGGGCTGCGAGGCCCGTAAAACCAACGACAACACCAACAACAACAACAACAACACCAACAACAACAACAACAACAACCACAACCACAACCACAACCACAACAACAACAACAACAACAACAGCACCAACAGCAACAACAACAACAACAACATCAACACCACCAACAACACCAACAACACCAACAACCACCACCACCACAACAACAACAACAACAACACCAACAACAACACCAACAACAACCACATTAGAGCCCTACGATCTCAAGGATGCATCGGCAACGGCATCATCAGAAACAACATCAGAAGGGTAACAACACGAACCATGCTTCCAAACTAGGTTCGTCTGGCAACCCAGCGCATGTCTTGATGTCGTAGACTCTATCGGGATGTATGTGTCTGTAGCGGTTTTGTTTCGAGGTTGCTGCGATTTCCGTTGTTCCGAGATTTGCTCCGAGGTGGTTCACAGACCAATAGTTGTCCGTAGCTGTTTTGATTCGAGATTTCGGGCTTCCCTCGCATATCCATCTTTCCGCTGGATCCCGCCTTCCACTTCGATGGCGTCGAGGGCTGCTGGAACGAGGTTGCTCGTGGGCTCTGCTCTCCGCCACCAGGGTGCGTCGGTGGTCGATGAGGCGGCTGAGGCGTTCGATGGCACTGGCCTGCGGACGTGGATATTGGAGGCCTATAAGCGTGGCGAGCTCAGTGCCACTGCCGTGTGTTCCCTTGCGTTCCATGCCACGCGAGCTGGTGCGCGCGGTGTTTGTGATTTAGCCCTGGACCCATCGTCTACACACCAGGCTGAACACGTGAGGACCGCGATTGGAGTTCGTGCTGGCGCTTCCTTTTACTGGACCCAAGTTCCCATGTGGGACGAGGCTACGAATTCAAGGGAGCTCGTGCCGTTTCCGATGAACTTGCCGCACGAACAGTTTTCGAGAGCGTTTTCTGATTCCCCAGCTGACTGGGATCCGAGTTAAGGGTGCCATCATGCACGTTGGTGCGCGTGCGCGTGCGCGCGGCACAGAGGGAGGAGGGAAAAGGGGGGGGAGATGCGGGGAGGAACCACACGCACTCACATCAACGCGCAGTTTGGCCCCCTATGCATCAATGTTGATCCTGATATGCTGTCGCCGACCTTTGCTGACCACGAGCTGGTTCAGCGCTGCCCAGGTCGTGCTGCGCCTGTTGGGTATTTCTCTGACGGCGTGCCACACGCGCGCAAAGATTCATTTTTTGCACATTACTTTACGAATCTCCTCACTGGGAAGAGGCACAACAGGGAAACAAACATGAATATGTGTGCATGTGTCTTGGGGCCCTGTTCCTGTGACGGGAACAGGGCGCCAGGACGCATGAATCCTGGGGCCCTGTTCCTGTCGCACACCCTGGTGTAGTCCGGGAAGCCATCGGCCGAACTGTCTCGGAGTTGGGCGCTGGCACGTGGTTTCGACCATCCTGCGCCCGACCCGAGCAACATCGGCGGAGTGGCGTGCTCCCGCGCGCTAGTACGCCCAGGCTGAGGCACAGGGACCAGGGCTCCTATAGAGGGGAGGGGGGGCAGGATCCAGGAGAGGGATGAGGGGATGATGGGATGATGGGGATGATAGGGGGTTGAGGGGGTGATGGGGGTTTTGTATATTGTTTGTCTCCCAC